CTCACCAGGGAGGAGTCCAGGAGGCATCCTAACCAGATTAACCACCTCAACTGGCTCCTCTGGACGTGGAGGAGCAGCGGCTCTACTCTGAGTCCCTCATGGATGACTGAGCTTCTCAGCCTATCGCTAAGGGAGAGCCCAGACACCCTGTGTAGGAAACTTATTTCAGCCACTTGTGTCCGCAATCTTGTTCTTTTGGTCACTACCCAAAGCTCGTGACCATAGATGAGGGTAGGAACATAGACCCACCGGTAAACAGAGAGCTTCACCTTCTGGCTCAGCTGTCTTCACTACGACAGACTGGTACAATGCCCGCATCACTGCATACGCAGCACCAATCCGCCTGTTGATCTACCGATCCATTCTTCCCTCATTCGTGAACAAGACCCTGAGATACTTAAACTCCTCCACTTGGGGCAGGACCTCCTCCCTGACCCAGAGAAGGCACCCTACTCTTTTTTCAGTTCAAGACCATGGTCTGGGATTTGGAGACACCGATCCTCATTCTGGCCGCTTCACACTCAACTGTGAACCGCTCCAGTGAGAGCTGGAGATCAGGATCTGATGAAGCCAATAGGACCTCATCATCCACAAAAAGCACAGATGTAATCCTAAGATCACCAAAACGGATCCCGTCAACCAGGGGCGAAAATCCCATCTCATTATTGGGGGGATCATCAAAAATAGGGAAATTTTTTGGAGCAATTTTTTTGGTGGAGTCCACCTAGGTTACAGTCAAATGTAATGTTGTAAAAATAAATTAAGATAAACCATTAACTATTTGATCAAGTTCTGTAAGTCCAGTTTCAAAAACTAAGACACATCAAACAAATTTCTGCAACTAAACAGCAACAATTATTTCATCTTTTAATGTTTACTTTAACACCTGGTGTCACGCAGTTATGTGACTTACAACATATGCTTATTTTCCAAAAATGTATCACCTTATAAACTACAAGAAGGGGGTTTTAATGGCACCAAAAAACAGCAAAAACAAAATCCAATGTGCACAGTGTGACACATGCTCACACACACAGTCCCACTTGAGTCAGTCACCTTACGAAAAATTTTTTTCAACAAATGTTATTTAGTGGCTGCAGTTTGCAACATTAAATAAAGCCTGGTCCTGGTCCTGGTCAATAAAGCCCCTTCTCCATTAGCATGGTTCTACTCTATTCGGGTCAGGTCTGTTTGATTCTGCTAACACGTGTGTGTCTCCATCTCAGTGTGTCCCTCACTCTGATCATGATTATGGGCAGACCATCCACAGTGGCTTCAGCTGTTGTGTTTTTTTTTAAAAACTGTGTTTTCACTTCATATTTGCAGCTTATGTTTAATGTGTACCTGCCTCACCAATATAACTCTGTATTTCAAAAAACTGCATTTAAAAATCAACAATTTGCAGTGAAAACAGTGACAAACTGAAATGGGATTTATTTATGTAGACCAAGAACCAAAACATAATGTAACATGGACTTTAAACTGAACATTCCTACACTGAGGCCGCATTTACACCGAATCATTCATGAAAATGTAAGTCACAAACGGGACATAAGGGAATCTTCTCCCAACAGATAACCAAACACTTGGATTCAAATTGACTTTGTTTATTAAATTCATGCTCAAAGTCCCAACAATCTCTAATTAAAAGCTTAAGATATGTGTGCTTCATGTTTCCATAGAAAGATGATGGTTGAGCACTTCAAACACTGATCCTCAAGAGATGTTGAAAAGAGTGAGGGCCAGAAGAGTCAAAGTAATAAATGCACACTCCACAGGTTCAAAGCTTAAAGATCCACTGAGTACAAATAAAAGGCAGAAACACATAAATTATGGTAACAGATGCTCTTATGTAGAGAGAACTACCATCAAAGAAATTAATGTGGGGTCGCCTCCTGATGTGCACACATGGACACACACACACAGCTGCCTGATTGCTTGTGTATAAAATGACTGTGAGGGTTGACCGATGGCTGAAGCTTGGCCAGCTGCTCTGTGTGAATGCTCAGCTCTTGATTGTGTTTGACTGCATGATTATTACAATGTGTAAAGCTGTAGGAGGGGTGTGAAAGTTGTGTGTGTGGGGGGGAGGGGGTGTCTTTCCATAGTTTTAGCCATTTTAGAAACAAGAAACTGTCAATGTTAAGAACTGCCAGCAGCATTTAAGCTTACCACTCTATCTACATTATCAATTAAAAATTTTAAATGTTTACAAGAGTCCATAACATTTTACAGAAAGGGAAAAATACAAACTGTTTCCAACATTTAAATTCTGCTGTAAACAAACACTAGTCTCTTTGGGCCTCATGCAAGAACATGTTCGTATTCTTATCCTAAATTTCTCTTACTTTTGTTCGTACAAAGGGTTCGTAC